AATATTTCGAAAAAAAATTTTATCAATTTTTGAGTTTTTTATTTTCAGTATTAAAAAATGTATTCTAAAAATGTAGCGCAAGTGTCTATGAATTATATTTAAAAGAAAKTTTTTAAAAATATTGATTAGAACAAAAGTTATTTCATTTGTCAGATCTCTGTGGGACAGCCTGTATTTCTCACTGTAAACAGAGTAAACCCAAAGGCCTATGTTGCCGAGGACGCCACACCCGCATGTGTGTTGTCTACGTCTTATAAACGTATAACATAGCAAAATCTGTTTAGCGCGGGACAACTTTTCTCCCTCAATATTTATAATAGAATTTTCAAAATTTCACAACGCATAAGTAAGAAGTTTGTCTGTGTCATAGCCTCGTTATTTTTTTGATAGCACAAACCAATAGTTTTAAGTAATTTAATATTTTAATGAAAAAATAAATGTATTTTCTTAAGCTTATAACTTTAATTATATTTATGTTATCAAAAAAATAACTACGCTATGACACAGATAAAGTTCTTACCTATGCGTTGTGAAATTTTGGTAATTCTACTATAAATACAAAGGAAGTAAAGTTGTCCCGCGCTAAACAGATTTTGCTATGTTATACGTTTGTAAGACRGAGACAACACATGCGGGTGTGGCGTGCTCTTAATAAAAAAATAAAAATATTATGTTGTAATACTGGTATGAAAAATAAGGAAATCTACATGCATTTGGTGTAACTACTTGTATATACATTTTTTTATTCATGTTTAAAATTATTTTTAGCATAACATTTAATCTCTTGCATAAAAGTATTTATATAAGTTCTAGAATCTCTTTAATTTAGTTGATGGTAGACATTTTATGTATACCTACTACCTATACTGGCGGAGAATTATTGAAACTTTTTGAAGAATGAAGATCAAAAACAAAACAAAAAATCAAGGTTTTCCAGTGGAGTTTTTAGACATTGTAGTATAGGTAAAATACTTATAATGTGTTACCATGTTCGTCTTTTTAAATTTAATATCTAGGTGTACCACAATGTGACATTGTAACTATATCAATATGAGTTAAAATAGTATAAGTTTACCTAGTACCTATTATTTAGGTATGGTTTTATGTTAAATTCTATTTAAAAAAAACGCTATTTACATCCTACTTAATATGCTATTATTTATATACTGCGCAAATCGCAAATAAGACAATAAGAGTGTATGACAAATTACATTTATTTTGTCATGAACAAAACTGAGCGTACACTTAATTTGTAGAAAATAATATAATTCTGTCATTCTGTGTCAAGTGTTTATG